ATATATACCAATGCGCATGCTCAAATCACGTCAAGCTAACTTCCGGTTCTTTGAAACACATCAGTCTGAGCAGTGTTCATATTTACCTGTTTCATTTGTGCCCTGTTGTTATTCAAACAACGAGCAACATCACTCATTTCGCTAGCACAACATAAAATACCAATACAACTAATTTATATGTACGTTTTTATACGAAAATTAACAGAAAACCCATGCACGCACATTCGGAGCGAGAGAGTTTTATTTTGAAGGGATTGAAATCCACGGAAGTTCGCGAGGATCAAAAATGTTGCGCTTCCGCGTTGACAGAAGTCAGTACGCGAACAGAACGAGTCGGAGGAGTTTCGCCAACCTGAGCATTTGTTTTATGGGCAGGTACTTTAACAGTTATTATTTCTGAAGACGACCTTTATTCTCAATGTTTGCGACGCTCGCCTGACAAAGACTTAGATAAATCTTTAGCAGGGCTGTGGCTGCTCGGGCATTTAAATAACGCCTTGCTGGCATGCTAACATATTAGCTTCATCAACTCCTATCTTTCCAAAGGAGGCGTCGCTTCAAACTGGACTTTGTTCGCTGATATCTGATGTCAGACTCTTTCCATAAAAGAGAACTTCAAGCTGGATCATTAACAGGATTTGTGTKCTGTTGGTGAAGCTTCTGTTCTGTCTGTTTTGACAGGAGCATCCCTGCATCCAGGCAGGAAACAAAGCCGGTCGGAGGTGTAATGTCAGCTGACGCCCACTCCTCCTGTTGCTGCTGAGCTGTGGACCATCCTCATCATCATCATCATCATCATCATCATCATCATCATCATGTCTGTGGGTGACAGCCCTCACCTGCTGCTCGGCAGGATCCGCTTCCTGAACAGGTGCATCGAGAGTTTCAGGAGGAGCGAGCCGGTGCCCGAGAGCCTGTGCTACGTCCCCAAAGAAGTGTGCTACAAGATCTGCAAGGATTCATCGTCCAGCTCCTCTGCTTCTTCCGGAGCCKCTGCGGGGGGCTCCACGGTGGGGAAGACCCTCCTGCCAGTCTTTGAGAGTCCTTAYCAGGTTACCCACAACAAGAAGTTGTACAAGTACAACATTGAGCCAAAGAAAGGGACGTGTATTCGGACCACGGGGGAAGAATACTGCAACAGCCAGGGCCTTTGGGTCAAAATGAACAAGGTAAGCGTGCAGATTGATATTAACAAAACAGCGCGTCGTCACTGCTGTCAGGTGAAGATTTATTGTTTGTTCTGTAGCTACGATGATCAAACCATCCCTTTTCCGTTCCCAGGAGCAGCTGGAGGAGCATCGTCTGGGTCAGGACCTGGAGGAGGGCTGGATCCTGGTGTGTAAGCACACGGAGGGGGGCGACAGGTTGGTTCCCGTGGAGTCCCCGGAGACGGTCAGCCGACAGCAGCGGCTCTTCGGCTACGACCACAAACCCTGCGGCAGCTGGGAGCAGGTGGTGGACGTGGAGAACGCGCTCTACATCGGCGCCAAGCCCAACATCTCAGAGTGTGACGCCGCCGCCGTCCAGAAGCTGAGGTAAACGCGCTCAAGTGGAGTCTTCTAGGAAAACAGAGAGTTTATTATTATTATTATTATTATTATTATTATTATTATTATTTAATTACCTGTTTAATATTTTAGATGTGTTCCTCCCACGTGGACGTACGAATGTGATGAGGACCTGGTGCACTACTTTTATGACCACATAGGAAGAGAGGACGAGAACCTGGGGAGCGTGAAACAGTGTGTGACCAGCATCGACGTGTCTTCATGCTCAGTGAGCGTCGTCACGTTCTTAACCCTTTAGCTCCAAATAAGAGACCCAAATCATATATTATAAGCATGTTTGTAAGTAATTTAAACAGACTGACCCGGTGTTTGCCCACAGGAGGATCCCAGCGGGGGGGCGAGCTGTCTGACAGATGGAGACACTGAAACGTACTGGGAGAGTGACGGCATGCAGGGACAGCACTGGATCCGCCTGCACATGAAGATAGGCACCGTGGTCAAGTAAGAGTCTGAGTCTGAGGAAGAACTTTTTGTCAGAAGTTTTAAAAGCAGTTTTTATAAGATMGTTGCCAAAATCCAGGGAGAAACTCTACTGTTTTCACCGCGCAACACAGCTGGTCTCATTACGCTCTCTGTAAATGAAGAATAAGAGAACGGTCACTTCTCCTTCTGCATTCCTCTCCGTGTTCTTCCCACTCGTCTCCGCAGCTAAGATTCATTGTGTTCATTTTGTTTTAACCACTTTGCATCTGGTTTCTTACCAGGTGCTTTGCATTTTTAGCGCCTCCCCTCCAACAGAAGCACCAAAACACAAAGCAAAGCCTGATTTACATGAAGGCTTGTAGCTGCGATGATGTAACGCTCATCAGGAACTGATTTTAGGCAGTTGGAGAAGCAAATGGAAAAGTTTTTGGAACTTTAAAGAGGCAATTTTATGTGTTTCTCAAGCATACCTTTAAATATTATACCCTAATAAAGTATCTATTGTCACCTTTAGTTGTTATTAAAATGCTGTTTTTATGTTTAAATAGAAAACAAACATCTTCTCATCACTTCCTCTTCTAAACGCCTTGAAATTGGCCTCTGTCTCTTTAAGAACCTCCTTCTGTTTCTGTCCCACCCAGTTCAGTCAGGGGGTGTTATGATGCAGTTTACTTGTTGTAGTATTTTCCTGTAGTATTTTTATATATATATATATATATA